GATGTGCGGCTTACTTCTGCTCAAAAATTTAAGCGAATTTAACCAACTTATATTGTAGAAATCTAAATAATTAAAAAGTATATTAATAGTTAAATAAACAACTGTCTTATATTTTTAGAATATTATATTACAAACCTAACGTTCTTTACATCTCCTTATAATTACAAATCCCCATCTTTAGGACAAATCTGCAATAAAAAAGAAAAAATATATATATATTTACAATTTCAATATATTTAACAAAAGTATAACATAATTAAAATGTAAACAATGTTCTTACAGCTTGGAACAGCTGCCGATTCAAATCTCTTTTGTATTTGATCATAAGTGAATTTCACAAAAGCATCGTATTGCTCTGAAAGTTTCATATTCAAAATCTGATCATATTCTTCTCGTATTTGTGTTTCTTGCTCTTTAAGCATTCTCTCACAGATCAAACCAACCTAAACAAAAAATCATTTCTTTTATTTTTCTCAATTAAACAAGATATACGAATAGTGGTATAATTATTAAATACCTGTCTAAATGTGAAAAGTGGCTTCTCTTTGTTATTTGAACTACAGCTGTAACTATTTGAACAAGAAGGACTCGAAGGACTAGCCGGACCTTCCATATCCGAAGAGTCACTTTGTGGATTGAAATGTAATTGTTTCCGACGATGTAATCTACGGATTTCTTCTCTGATGTTGGCAGCCATTTTTTCTATAACAAACGAAAAAGTACATAAATATAAGTATTCATTATTTCTTAAACTTACAAAGAACGTTAAATAACAATTATATTATTTATGCTACTAACGTATGTCTAAACAAAAATTATTTATTTATATTATTTAAAAATGCGTAATAATTAATTAATGAAAAAATATGTGAAACGAACGGTTTTTTTTTTTTTTTTTTTTTTTTATTAGCTTTCAAATACGTCATTTACAATACTTATGTATCACTTACGAAAATATGTATGAGCAACAATGGCATCATTTCATTAATCTTTGCAAAAACCTATTTGTATCTAGAAGATTAACTAATTGTATTATGTGAAAATTTCTTTCGATAAACTGAAAAAATGTATATGCGTTAAGAGGGAGGGTGATTTTTACTCAATGTCTGTATGAGTTATATGATAATATTTTATTAACTTTTTTAACTGTACATACGCCGTATGCGTATAATAATTATCATCGTAACAAAAGGTAATATAAAAGAACATCTTCATAATCTCAATGTCAATGTATGCAGGCAGACGTTCACACAAATACTTGTGAACACACATTGTGTCAGCGCCACCGCGTCATGACGCATTTAGAACAAAGTTTTAAAAATTATACGCTCTTGATATAGAATCAATATTCGCAATTTATGGAAAGAAAGAGATGACAAGTCGGAATCCGGCTTTTAAATGAGTCGAGTATCTCTCTATTGTTATTGATAAATAAATAGAAGAAAAAAAGCCTTTTTGCCTAATTAAACGATAAATTCATTAATGATTATAAGTAGCTTACGTTAAATTCAAAAGAAATATTTCTAATATCATTGTAGTTATAAAATTCATATTGTCTTATCAATTATGGAGGAAACTAAACTGTCACTATGTAGTCTGATAAAAATAAAATATTTAATCTCCGGCTAAATCATTTGAATAAAAAATTCAATTATATGAAAAAAACTTATTATCTAACTTATTATCTTATTGAATTGAAACTATGAAGGATTGTGTATGCGTTTTAAAAAATCTATCTGGTATTTAAAAAATTATTTAGTTTTATTTATTTTCTCTCTCCATCTATCTATTATGGTACTAATTATTTATCTTTCGCATGCGTGATTTTCAAAGCTATGCTTATGATTATCTATATTTTCTTTATTGTCGAATAAGTCCTCATTATTAAAAAAATTAATAAATAAATAAATACCCATATTTATACATTTCATTATTTTAGTGTTAAATATTTCGTGCTTATTCTGCGCATTACACTGCTGAGTTAAAAAAGATAATAGTTTTAATAATGCATTTTTAGCATTTTATATCCATCAGCGTTTTACATTTGGTCGTGCATAATGTTCCGACATTCTTGAATTTGTAATTTCTAAGCTTCGTATCCTTTTTAAATTTTTACCAATGAACATAATACATCAGCATATAGCTGGTTTAAGCAATTTGCAAACTTTTTACAGCTCGAATAACTTCATGGAAAAGGGTAAAAATTATTGAAATTGAATAAGAAAACTTAACATTCTCTGTGACGATTGCAGGGATTTTTTTATAGCTTCTGATTCATTATACAGATTTTTCTTGCAACAAATAAACATCCTTAACTTTATTCAATTTATTGGCTTCTGCAAAATAGCCGTTACATTTGTATTGCATTTGGTCTATAAAATTATTGTTCGATGTTCTTTTTTATCGGAAACTGTCTATCTCTTTGAAGAGGAAGCATGAAACAGCTACATTGTTTTTAAATAAGATTCATTTGTTTGAGCATTCTTTCTTTTTTTTCTTTTTTTCTTTTTTTTTTTTTTTATTGCGAAAATGAAACGCGCGTCTTAATATATTGACAATTATATATCAAGTATTATACATGTTAATTTTTTTTTAGGTTATACGTATCCGAATCGAGCAAAATATTTTATTTAGATGTTTTCAGGAAAAATTGCTCTCACAAAAGCATATTGTTCATTTTCTTTTAAATAAACTTTTCGACATAGATGAAAATCTATATATTTATTCGTATGAATGATAAGAGAAATGAGTCCAAAGCCTTTTATTTATCGATTATTTAAATGTTTTATATGCTTTTCTTTTAAACCACGCCTTAGTTTTTTTAATAAATTATTTTCTTGGATTTGAGAGTATCAATAGATCAACGAGGAACGCATAAATGCAGGAAGATCATGAAAATCCCAATAGTTGGCTAAGTTCTAATCAATCTCGAGACTCACATAACCTCACTCATTCACTCACTCACTCTCTCTCTCTCTATCTATCTTTCTCTTTCTCTATCTCGTGAAAATGAATACACGGGATGTCGCCTACTCATTACAGAATATGCCATAAACATTCATTTCAGAACAACAATTAGGGTGAATAAAGGCATTTAGATTGTGCAAACTATGAACAATTTTGTTTAGAGCTTTAAAAAATATATCGAACTACATTGAGCTACGCAATAAATTCATATGGATTATAATAAGAGAATAATCTTCAGGTTTCATGGGCTAGTGCATGTAGTGCAGAACTCTCTCTCTCTCTCTCTCTATCTCTCTCTCCCTCCCCAGCCATATAATTCAATGTGCATGAAAGTACGGGCAGGTGTAGTTAATATACGAAGTGGGCAGGGCACGGAAAACGTATGCCGACCGCCCAGTCGATGCTAGAATCCCGATGCTCGATAGTAATAACAATGACTGGGCTTTAAAATATGCCATTAGTCTATTGTTAAGCACTATGGGAATATATTTAATGCGAGGAATATACAAAGGTGAACGCATATTAAAGGAATATGCGTGGAGATGGTATGTAGGTTGCTCGGCGTCTCATGGGGTAACACGATGATGTAGCAAGCGCGCGCGAGAGAGAGAGAGAGAGAGAGAGAGAGAGAGATTGACATTCCGTTTAAGCATGGACGACATGGTCGGGAGAAGCCTTAGGCTGCTTAGGAGTTGCGACTTTAAGGGCACCGCGTGTGAAAATGCGCCTCGTCATTTCGTTACTTCTGAAAGCTGGCGAATAAACATAGTGCGACCTGACTCACTCGGAGAGGTGGCTGCCAATAGTACGGTGAAGCCTTTAGAAAACGAACGATACTACGGAGTTTGCGCGGATGAAGGTTGACATGTGGACTGGCAAGGCAGGTGACGCTCGGGGAATTGCTCGAGGGTCAGGGGGCGGAGAGGATTTACCCTATGAATCATTTATAGAAGGTTATTAGTTTCGCTATTCTAGTTCACTTTCTACGTGAACTGTATTTATTAAGGCAGTATATACACGAGGGATTACATTGAGCTGGAAGAAACTATTTTTATACGAACCGATGATTTAAAAGGTATAGTGTCGAGATTTTAGGATGGGACTTTGTCGGAAGATCGGCAAATATCTATAACCGATGTCCAACCATTAGAGTTTTCTCGAATTTCTCGAAGCTCACTGTTATAAAATAACTGGTGAAGCAGAATTTCATAATCCCAGCTTATTAAATATTTCATTATTATTTAAGATGCGAGATCGGGTATTATGTAAAACCTATCATCTACAAGATTATATCGAAAAGCAACATATAATACATAATAACGCTCGATTCAAATTTAGCTGCAACAGTCTTTAACCTCGACCTTTCAATTTTACATGAAACAATACTTCCTAAGAGTGCTGGTGCTGCTGCTACTGCTCCTAAAGCTATATATATATATGTATATATGTATGTATGCATGTATGCATGTGTGTATGTGTATATGGGAGGTTTCGCCCTAAGCCTATTAGTAAACCAGTCTGAATAACGTACTTGTGTCCCTTGCCCCTTGCCTCGTACACGTGTAATAGGAGGGGAAAGTTCTGGATCAAGTTTGTATTCTCTTTTAACGTTGGGAATACAACTTACTTTTCTTTCTTTCTTCCTTGATGTGATTATTCGATAAAAATTATGATGCAGTAAAAAGTAAATGGAATAAAATTGATAAGTCGACGCTGTAATTTAATAAGGCCGAAAGAATTTTCAGTAAGACTAAATCAATATAATATGACAATTATTACAAACGACTATTCCACAAATAATTAAGACGTCCAGATATCATAATTTTTCAAATACCTTGGAATTTCTAAATATTGGTAGATAATAAAATTGTATGAATTCCTTTGTGCGATTTTGTTTGCGTGGCTGTGTATTTATATAATATCGTATGATTGTAAAATTACGTATTTAAAAGCATAAAGTTGTGCGTGCGTGAGATATTTAAGAAATAGTCGATTAAAACGAAAAATGTTTTTACAACATTCAATTCGAGATTGAGTTTTCTTTAATCAAAGCGTTAAAATGAATTCCATCTTATAATTATTTGATTATAGATGAAATTTGTCACTTGATACTAAAAATTTTCTTATATAAAAAGCCGTTACCGTTTCCTGCGAGCATCAGAGACTCATGATTTTTACAATTTTACATACACACGTGCAATCGCGAGCAAATTTAATGTTTGGATTTTCGTCTGCGCATAAGCCACTCGTAAGTCACGCCGTGTAGACGGGACGTATTGTATAAGTGAAATATATGTATATATAAATGCGCGCGTGTATATATATATATATATATATATATATATATATATATATATATATATATATATATATATAAATGTGCGCGCGCGCGCACACACGCACGCAGCATGCTCAACATAGCGCGCACATACGTAATGTACGAAAATTTATTAAGCACATTGGATAAGCTTTTTCAAAATGTATGCAAACTACGTATCACTGATATGACTTGTATTTTTTTTATATCTGGTCTTTTTTTGTTGTACGAATGAGTCTCGACCGACGAACGTACTTTTTTTCTACAGCCAAATATTATTTTAGGTATTAAAAAGTCCATTTAAATCATTTATGGAACATACTGCTTTTATTAAAAATAGCAGATGTTAAGTGTCGGGATTTGTATACACAAAATTAAAATAATATTAAGAATAGCTCGTTTTTTTTTTTTTACGTCCCCGATGCTTCGATAAAGTAAAAACAACAAATATTCAACATTCCAAGACACGTAACGAAAATTGATTAATAAAAAGGCGTTATTAACACGATGGGAGATGCAAATCGAAATACAAAGACAGCTAGCATCACTTTCCTTACGAATACATATTTTACATAATTAAATTACGTATACTCTTTCTCAGGAGTTATCGGAAATGAATCCCAACACGGTCATTCAAAAATACGTGCTTATCCCGAGGGTTAATGTTATTCTCGAGTGTGACAGCTCATCAATTATATTCGCTAAAGTTATCTTCCTTATGTTGCCGTGAATAATAAGAATAGAAAATGTGGAAACATTGTTTCAGACACTGAATGAAATAAGACGGATGTTGACCGTATTAAGTAATGTAAACAATATCATTATTAACTGTAACTCCCTTTTTCACTACAATCGTTCGTAAACACGTCGCTCGTGACAGCGCATGGAAAAATGAAGGCGATGAGCAGAGACACAGAGACACGCACGTGCGCTACAGTGCGATGAGAAGGAAAAATGAATAGAAAATAAAATTATTTTCTTTCCAAAGAACGTAAGGCAAAAGCGGAGGAGAGTGTGCGGAAGACGTTACGTGTGTAGGAGCAGAGCCACGACTCTCCGACTTCAAACAATAACAACAAAGGCCACTTTCCATTCTAAAAGCGCTAAGTAATGCCTGCGGGGAAAATGGAAGAAAAGCCTTCGGCCCGAGTGTGTATAGCCATTGCGAACAATATCGTACAGAACTTCGGCTCGGCTCGGCGCAAAAGAGGTAATTTCTCTCCCCGAGTGAGACGGAGAGATACGGGCGCACGAGTCACTGTATGAGTAAGAGGTAAGGAGGGTGGGAGGGGCAGATAGATAGAGATAGAGAGAGAGAGAGAGAGAGAGAGAGAAAGAGAGAGATATGCTATGCGCATATATAAGAATGCGCTGTTGGCCATGTTTCGTCATGTTTATTTCTCTCGCATGCTTCTCCGCCTCGGTATCTCGTCTTTCGCCTTTCGCTCCCTCCGCGGATGCGATACGTATCGCACCGCGCATGCACACACATGCAAGCAAGCACGCACGCACACGCGCGCGCAAGGAAACGTCCGTTACAGCATTACCATATGATTTACTGCGCGTCACAGCCCTCCCGCGTAACAGTGAAAGACTCGCGCGTGTTCCCTACGCTTTTGCACATTCGTCTCCCTCCCCCCCCCCTCTTTAACTCCTTCTTTTTTTCTCTTTCTTTTTACAAGACTGCCATATCCTGAGTCCCATTCCCCTTTCTCAATCCTCTCTCCTCGCCCATCGTTATCCGACAACCACTGTCCGCCACACCGTTTCATCCCTCGTATGGTTAAACAACCAGGGTTATGAGCCGTCCCAAATACGAATTTTAAATCGCTCTCAGGCATTGCTGCCCCTACGTAAAGACGAGGTATGCGTGTGCGCTCGTGCGTACATATCTGGTCTTTCTTTGGGGAGCGACTTCTCTACCTCTCTACCTCTCGGCAATGTGCGTGAGTGCGTGCACGCCTCTTCGGTCCCTAGTGAAATCGCACGCATGCACGCACGCAACACAACACGACGGCAGGAAGTGCACACACGGAGAAGAGATATTGGAGTGACGGAGGTAGAGGGATAGGGGTTATTGGGGAATTGGGGAGGAGTGGGAGAGGGCGATAAAGCGCTGGGAAGACATGAGGGGCAGGTGGGGCGAGGGAATCGAAAAATAAGGGGGCGAGAAAAAGATGGCCGTGTTTAAGAATATAGGCTCCGTTCGCGAGGCCTTTCTCATTACTTACCAGGCGTCAATTTGTTGGCGATCTCGCCGAAGGCCGAAGGACTCTGGGTCTTGGCCGAGCTCTGGGCCGCGGCCGAAGGCGAGACGCACATAGGGGCGCACCTCCGCCTTTTGTTCGGTCGTCCATGACTATGCACCGGGTCGAACTCCAGAGATCTCTTGAGGGTGGCGCAAGCCATCTTTGTGCTGACTGCTAGCGCAACTAGACTACTGCTAATGCTGCTGGTGCTGCTGCTGCTGCTGCTGGTGCTGCTGATGCTGCTTCGTCTTCTCCTCCACCCCCTTCGCCTCCACCTCCTTCTACTCTTTCTCCTCGTCGTCTAACGATCGCAGCGGCGATCGAGAGGCCCTGCTTGAGGGAGTGTGTGGGAAGTAACCACGGGCGCGCCTTTCTTGGCCGTCCAGATCAGGAAGGTCAACGACGAGAAGACAGCTACTCACTCGCTGCTGCTGATCTTAGCTGTTAGCTCTCGTCTCCTCCGTCGCTTGCCACAAAAACAAACACTAGCTGCTCTCCGCTGCCACTAACGACGTCGTCGTTGTCTTCGTCGTTATCACCCTCGACGACGTTACCGCTGTCGATGTCGTCGTCGTTGTCGTTGTCGTCGTTGTCGTCGTCGTCGTCACTGTCGTCGTTACTACTACTACTACTGCTGCTGCTGCTGCTGCTCTCTCTTGCAAACAATATGGCCGCGGCGCCGCTGCTGTTCTTCCCGTTCGATGCGCTGCGCCTCTAATGGTAAAGGGGGTTGCAGCACCGGGGACGCTCGAATACCAGGGGTCTACGAGTCCTTTGTCCTTTCCTCAATTTTTCTTGCCAACGGAAACGCTGAGCTCTCGCGCGAATTTGCTCAGCGAGGGAGCGATAACTCGTTGAGGAAGGCCAGGAGCTACGACGATCGTGTCTTGAGTAATCCCTAGGACGCGACCGAACTTGGGAGCGAGCACGGAAGTCGGGACGGGTGAGATGCCGTTGGCGTTGTTGCGTACCTGCGTCGGCGGTAGTGGTGGTAGTGATAGTGGTGGTGGAGGTGGTGCTGGCAGCGGTGGTGGCGGCGATGGTGGCGGTGGCGGTGGGGGTGGTGGTGGTGGTGGTGGTGGTGGTGGTGGTGGTGGTGGTGGTGGTGGTAGCGGCGACGGCGGTGGTGGGGGTAGTGGCAGTAATGGTGTGACTGCTGCTGTTGCTATTCCTACTTGTACTCCTACTGTCCGTGTAATGCGAGGAACTCGAACCGAGCGCTTAGCGGTCTACACGCCAGCCGTAGAGGCAGATGCAGCTGATGGG